ATATAAGCTCATCCCGATGTTATACTCATCAAGAGCTTTCATTTGAGTACCCACATTAATTTTTCATATATTTTATATATTTATATATTTCATAAATACCATATATATAAAATATATATATAAAAAGTGCCATGTGAGTACTCAAATGAAAGGTCTCGATGAGTGAAACATCGAAATGAGCTTATATCTTTAAAAATGTTAGTAATTAAGAGATTACTTTGTATTTTGAGAACTCTTGACATTTTTCAAGAAATAAGCTCATCCCGATGTGACACTCATCAAGACCTTTCATTTGAGTACCCACATCAATTTTTCATATATTTTATATATTTATATATTTCATAAATACCATATATATAAAATATATAAAAAATGCCATGTGGGTACTTAAATGAAAGGTCTCGATGAGTGTAGTATCGAAATGAGCTTACATCTTTAAAAATTCTAGTAATTAAGAAATGACCTTGTATCTTGAGAGCTATTGACATTTAGAAAGATATAAGCTCACCCTGACATTATACTCATCAATACCTTTCATTTCAGTACCCACATCAATTTTTCATATATTTCATATATTTATATATATATGTATATATGAAAAATATATCAAAAATACATGTGGGTGCTCAAATAAAAGCTCTTGATGAGTGTAACATCTTAATGAGCTTACATTTTTAACAACGTCAATATTTAAGGAAGTACTGTACAATTTAACAAAAGCCATTTAATAAAGCAAAATTTTAATTTTTTATAGTTCTCAAGTCACGGCAGTCACGTAGTGACTGCAAGATTGCTAGTTAAATTTTAATTAATTAATAAATAATATTAACATAAGCATACATTTGACAATTTTATAATTTTTTTAATCACTAAAAAAATTACCTTAAATAATTTTTCTTTAAAAAACTTTTCATTCAACTAATTAAATTTTCATCCGGCCTTTTTAGTATCACCTCAAATTTTAACCAAAAAAAAAAATAAACAAAAAAACTTATCTGAATATTTTCTAAAAAAAATAACACACATACTTGTCATTAAAACAAATGGTGGGCAAAAAAACCAGCACTTAACATTTAAAAACCATTATCAATTATAAATAACCAGATTATTGTATAAAACAATAACCTCAACTTATTTTAAAAAATTAAAAAAAAAAAATAAATACCTGGCGGCTCGTTGGGTGGATTTTCGTCAGACTTAACCTGATTAGCATTATCAGGAGCGGGAGTGTCCTTAAGAGTGGAGGACCCGCCACTGGAGACCGATCCTAGGACCGACAATTTGAGATACGGAGCAGTCAAGGTGACAACCCCATCAATGTTTCTTCTCATGGCTTTGTTTTTTGTGTAAATGATAATGAAAGTAAAAAAAGGGTGGCTAATGACAGCGAATGCCTTGGAGTGGGCAAAGTGATTCGTGGATGTGTTGTTCATGATTCATTTTATTTATTTTATTAATTAAATAATTAATAATGATTTTACCTCTGGTGGCACCGTTCGGAGCGGAGCCTTGGCTGGGCATTAAAGACCGAGCGCTTCCGGAGTTCAACGACTGCTGGATCGAGTGGAGAGTTGTTGAATGAGACCCTGGAGTTTCTGCAGGAGTTCTATTGATGTGGGCTTTGGAAGCTAGGTCGCCGCTCCATAGGTCGTTTAGGAGAGACGGGCGCTGAGTTCGCGGCTGACCGTCGGCATTTGGGGCTCCTGGGTGCATGTCTACCACGCTTCTCTTTGGCTCTGGTTGCATTTCGTCTGTTTTGGAAGTAGATTTATTAATTAGTAATTTTAGGAAAAAATTTTTGAATTTTAAAATTTATCAGGATGAGCTTATATCTTTAAAAATGTCAGTAATTAACAAATGACCTTGTATCTTATGAACTATTGACATTTTTAAAGATATAAGCTCGTCCCGATGCTACACTCATCGAGACCTTTCATTTGAGTACTCACATCAATTTTTCATATATATATATATATATATATATATATA